AGGATAAATTAATGCCCACTATTGCCACCCCTCCTCCCCAAAATTTCCTGTCCCATGGGAAGCTCTGCAGGCCACACGTGATGGCTTCATGGGGCTGTATTTGGCCCATGGGCAAGCGGTTGAGCACCCCTGCTTTGTGTTGCATACATTTTGTAAGATTTTTTTAAGTGATGGCAATTTCACTGAATGCTATTTGTTCCTAATAATTAATTACACCAGTGTGTTTTATGCATTTTTTTTTAAAAACTGCACTTACCTTTGGACATTTGGGATTTCTTGCTGTTTCGATCAGAAGATCTGACCCCATTTTCTCTCTATGAATAAAAGACAAATCATTGAAAATACCTTGTTAGTTTGGCATGGTCATTACAAACTAGTCAAAACCCAATATCTATGTCTAATCTTATTTAGGATACTTTCTATTTAAAATGATCAGAGTGAGGATATGGGTAAGGTCCTAGCTCTACAGAAGTTAATGAGACCTTTGCCTTGGACTTCTATGGAGCCAGGATATTACCCACAATATACTCTACGCTGCTGGAAATGACAACCTCTATATACAGATGATTAAGATGATTTGTAGATTTCATAGTTTTCTTCCCCCTCCCCCAACTGAGATCTCAATCCACTAAGACACTTGAGAATATATGTAATACTGGACTTACAGAACTACTCTGGAACTAAAAGTTCAGAACATCTGTGTGCTTTCCTTGCTGAGGCAGTTACCATTACCAAAGTGAGAAGAATAAAAAAGTGATACTGCCATTGCCAATTGTTCAGGAGAGGAGTATGCAGTAAGTAAAACTGAAGTTAAAATATCTACTGTTCATTTTTCAAACAGTAGGTAGCCTTTAACTATTGCTTTCTGAGTTGAACTGTTTTATCAGGAGCCCAGCATCTCTACAAGCCTTCCTATTGCTAGAGTTCGGAAATCATACAAAAGATCCATATTTGAATCCATCAACACCTCAACAGAATCTGTATATAAATTTAAAAGGCCTCACTGCATGGTCACTGACTGGTCACACAGTAGCATGGACACAGCACTGGCTCAGGGATTTGTTTAAGAAGGTATCTGATCTCTCCCACCCTCAAGTGAACCCATTTGCACCTTAAAAAGGATGTACTTGTGGGATGGGAGGGGGAAGAAAACTAAGAAACTCCTCCATGACCATTTCAGGCTGGACATAAGGAAAAACTTCTTTACTGTCCATGCCCCCAAGGCCTGGAATAGACTCCCTGCAGAAGTGGTGCAGGCACTTACTCTGGACTCGTTCAAGAAATGTTTGGATAATTATCTTGCTGGGTCCTTTGACCCTAGCTGACTTTCTGCCCCTGAGGCAGGGGGCTAGACTTGATGCTCTTCAAGGTCCCTTCCAGCCCTAATGTCTATGAAATCTATGAAGAAATACACAAATCATCTTAAACAGATTCTACCAGTTTCTGCAGTATGTAAGTTAGCAGCTTTCAATTTTTTTCTAGTTGCAATATCATTTACAGTCAGAAAATTTCACAGCCATATGAGAGCCAACAGATGAACAACTTCACTATTTTAAGGGGGATATTTCATACGGAACAGCTGAATTTATTGTAAGCATTTTATCTGCTTACATCTATCCCACAAAAAGTGCCAGTTTAACCAGGGCAACTTACGCCTGAACAAAACAGGGTGAAAGTTACTGTGGTTTAGCTTCACTTGCTGCAGGAAAGAAGCAGGCTCACAAAACAGTTACCACGGAGTAAATAGGGTGCACTCATGAGCGGTAAGCCCCCCATGCCACCCCTAATTAAAACAATATTATTATTATTTTTAAATCTATTCACATAGTTACTGTTCATCACCACACAATTAATGAAATATAAGGATTCACTAAACTTGAATTGCTCTGCTGTAATTGAGCTGCTGTGCCTGTTCTTACCTCAGAGTTAAATTAGGGCAGCTTACCCCTGAATATATCAGGGCTACATTGCCCCAGTTTTTCTTTCACTTACTGTGAGGTAATTATCATCTCAGAGACCGTTATCACAAGGCAACCAAGGTGTGGTAAAGCTCCAGTCCTTGTTAATTAATGGCATACTTCATAATTGTGGACTAAGAGGAACTGGAGCATGTAGCAATCATTTGGGAACTGCTGAACTAAGCTTTTATTTCAATACTACTACTACTGCTAATAAAAAGCCCATCTACCCCAACTAGCAGCAAAAAACCTTTTGAATACAGCCCAATGTGGTGATGTGGGCTGCATTTGCTAGCAGGATCAGTGCCCCCATTTATTGCACATCATGGTTTATGTGGCTCTACATTATTTTGGGCTTTTGAAAATTAGGGTTTGCAGACCTGTGAATAGGAGAAATTAAGGATAAAAGGATGTGCAGTTTCAACCATATGCATTCCACTTCAGACTGAAAGCCAGTAAGCATTAGGTAATTTTTTTATGTCCTGCTTGGAAGGACAAACAGGAAATTATAGCTGTACCAGGGTTCATCATTTAAATGATCTGAACTGCAGTACTTCAGACCCATAATTCAGTAACCTCCCTCTTGGAAAGACCAGCATCAGATTCTTCACAGGAGTCCAAGAAAAACCTCCCTAATCTTCAGTAGAATGGTTGGGGGTCTGAAACATGATGTCCAAGTTGTTAGCATTAACCATCTGGATATGGGCAAACTGGCATCCCCAGCACTGGGAAGCAGCTTCTTGGTCCCAGGACTTCCCACACAGTAGGAATTTTAAAGGGCAGACAGCTCGTAAGTGGCCCCTTCTCACACATGCTGCCCTGTTCCCTTGCTGCTCTGGCTGCAAGTAGCTACAGGGACAGCACAGATTGCCAGTGTGAGGGACCTCACTGTAAGTGGCAGCAGGAACTGCCTAGGGGTGCAGACCTTGCCATCCAACCAAGGCCAAACAGCAGGGCCAGACAGGGGGCCTGTTGATGAGTGGTACCAGGTAGTGGTACCAGCACTCCCTGACAGCTTGATGTTGGGCAGGCTATCAGGGTGCCAGGGAGAGCATGCACCTCTGCTCCCCTTATAAGATGGAAACCTATCTAGGTCAGAAATTTTTTCCCTAGCCTGGTGTGATTTCATCTTAGAACAGGTTTCACTGCATTTGAAAACAGCTATTGCTTTCCCCGCAACCACCCTTAATCCCTCTTTCACCAAACTAAATATACCTATGTCTCTGAACCTTTTTGCAGATGGCTACTGTTCCAACACCTTTATCATTTTTGTTAGCCTCTGGATCAGGGGTAGGCAAAATACGAATTGCAGGTTTGATTTAACCTGCCAAGGGATATTGTCCAGCCTGTGGTGGCTCCCTCAGTCCCACCCAGCCCAGGCAGTGGTGCGTACAGCTGGTCCCACTGTCCTAAGGATCCTGGCTGCAGCAGCTTCTTTTGGCTACTGCTGCTGAAACCGGCCCTGCTGCCCGGGCACCCTGGCCTGTTGGGAGCAGGACACATGCAGGCAGGGTACACAGCTGAGTGGATGGGATGAGGCTGCAGGAAGGCAAGGAGTGGCATCCAGAAGCAGGACAGATTGGCAGGGTGGTGACAATGCGGAGCTGGGGCCTACGGCAAAGTTGCAATCTACTGTCCGCATGTCCCTGTAATGGCAACCAGGGATCTGCCCTGGCCCCGTGCTGTCACAGCCCTGCAATCCCGGCCCCAGCCCTACCCACCCATCCCACTCTGGGATGTCACTCCCTGTCCACCTGCACTCCCATCCCACCTGCCTGGTTGAGCATGGAGCAGAGCCACTTAGGAAGTTTGGGTGAGCTGCTGAGGAAGGCAGGGGAGTGCTGACCCAGCCCATGACAGCTCACTCAAACTCTTTAAATAGCCCTCCTGCCCAAATAATTGCCCACACCTATGCTGGATCTTCTCTAGTTTCTCCACTTTCTTCATAAAGTGCAGTGCCAGACCTAAACACAATATTCTTACTGAGACATTAACAGTACTCAATAAAACAGTACTACCAATATCTTAAATATTATACTCTTGACAATTCCCCCAAACTTTATTTACTTTTTAGGAACTACACCAAATTACTGGCTCATGTTGAGTCTGTGATCCACTAACACCCCCAACTGAATTGGGCTAGTGGTCAGCTATATTCTGAGGCAGGAAGCTGGAATGGCCCAGCTTGGGTCCTAGGCAAGACAACACTGGGACCCAGCAGCCAGCACCACCCAGCCAAGGCACGTCACAGAAAAGCATCCTGCCACCCAGCTGCAGTGTGGCCCAAAGCCCATGCACCCAGACACCACCAAAACTCCAGCTCCACAGGCTGCATCCAGTAGCTCTGCAGATTGGATTTGGCCCATGGGCCATAAGTTGCTAACCCCCAATCTGGGCAATGGTAATACCTAGTCAATCTTTTCCCATTATTTATTTGGGAATTTGTTTTTTCTTTCTGCTAGCTTTAGAATTTTACATTTGCTACATTCATTCTGCTGTTAAATTCCACTTGCCGCTTTACCTACCTTGTTTAAATCCTCCAGAAATGCCTTAGGCCTCTCTGTACTTGGTGAACATAAACAGCCACCTCATCTATTAACACAGTTACCTCACTGGTTATTTCCTTTTCAAATGATTTAATATTAAAAATTTTCCCTAACAACAACATATATAACAAGCTGTCTTGGACAAAATTTTTTGTATAAACCTTTTCAACAAGAAGAGAGTAAGACAGAAGAGAGGCCAGTGTCAAAAATAGGCTACTTTCAGCTCCTCACTAAACTGCTTTGTGACCTCAGGTGAGGACACAATTCCTACAGCAATCTTCTCTGTGAAAAGGAGGAGATTACTACCAACAGCTTTGCAAACTCCAATGGGACATGCCTGAACTGGCTAAGAGCCCTAAGATGGGGAGGGTAAGACCCAGATATTCTCTGGAGAAGAGTGTATAGTATAATTGTTTTTCAGTGTATGAAGTGCTGGATTTGAACATGTTCTTTGGCTGCATTCACAGTACCTCCCACCCCAATCAACAGAACAGTTTTTACCCCATCCACAACTTAGCATTACATTGTTTTTTGGAGCAGTTTTACTGCAGTCTGTCAAACTGCTATGTCTGCTGCCTCATAAAAAATCTAACACAATTCTCCTGCAAATACCAGACTCTACTAAAGTTAAAAAAAATATTTTAAATGCAAAACTTTAGTGAACATAAAATACCAGAATGCAGAAAATGCAACTATTTCTTACAGCATATTTCACTCAATATGTTATCATATAAATTGATTACATAAAACATAGCGAGGATAATTCTGCTCTCTACACAAAGAAAATGGAAATCAATGATAAAGTAACTCCATCTAATGAATGCAATAACCTTAAAGTTAAAGTCATCAAATTAAGTGAACAACAAGGCAGGTAGCTCAGTGACAAGTAGGATGTCTTCTATTAACATGCATAAGATTAATACTGAAGCTAATCTTTGTATAAGACATCTAGCAAATTGCTACACTTAACTAAAATTAGTGGTAATTTTTAAAATAGGATTTTAATATTCCTCTAATGCAAGTAAAAGATTGTGTTGCTTTTCAGTTTAAATACTTTAATGTAATATTACTAGATCATTCTTTATATTCAACAAAATATCTTACACCAGCTTCAAAATCATTCTTTTAGTTTTTCAAGTTTTCCTGCTTCTTAATTTACAGGGTCCCTACTAGTTGCTACAAATTTAACGCTGATTTTAAAGAGCTGTACTTAGGAGAAACAGCTTCAATTATCTATTTTGTCATATAAAGGATATCAAAACTTTCTTGTAGAACCAGTTTTTGCTTTCAAATTGTGTTTTTATGACATATTTCAGAACTTGATATTTGCCATTTTCTGGATGTCAAAGCCAGTAAGAAATCCTGAATGAAGCTGAAATTAAAGAACTACTATAAATGACTAAAATTATAACCACACAATTGTGTCTTGAAAATGCCAATATAGAAAGTGTCTCCCTTGTGGGATAATTAAATTTTCTATTATGCTCTTTCACTCTAGCATGGAAACTTTTTTGCATTTCGCTTTTAACTGTCTTTACACTCATACCATACTTCAATTATATCAAGGGGCATATAGAGACCTCCCACTAGGTAAGCAATCAGTTTCAGTAGATCAACTTCCTGTGAACCATCTGAAGCAAGAGAAATGTTTAGCTCTTTTGGTACTATTTTTCCCTGCCAGGTATGCCATCCAGGGTGAAACTTCTGTAACATTACTCTCTTACCTCCTTGACATGGGTGGGTCAAATCACTTGACTCCAGTTCTAGCCTGAACCTGGAAATATGCAGGAGTGGACCACAAAACTACCTGGTCAAGAGATGGTTAACAAGACACCTGAATATATCAGGTTTCTAAAGAGAAGGCATATGCAAGTCAATTGAAGGACAGCCCTGTATCCATGTGAGGTATTTTTCACTTCATGCAAAACGGAAGGTGAAAGAAGATATCACTTCACTCCCTTTAAATGATTAACTATTGAGTTAAAAGAACACTTGTTTTCAAGAGTTCAACTATGACTCATTGTGCCTGATGCCAAGGCAATTCAGGTCAATAATGTGCATCTTCCAAGGCAACCACGGGAGGAAGACTGCTGAACTCAACATAGCAAAATGCTTCTCTTTTATGCAGCTGTATATTTGTGATCAGTAGACATGGTACTGGTCATCAATTTGAGGAAAATAAGTACACCAGTAGTTACCTCATTACTCTTTTTTTTTTTTCTTCCACCAACAACACATACCTATTAAACAGGACCTGGACTTACAAGAATACTCAGCTCTCATTAAGGTCATCAAGGATCAGAGTTAAACAGCAAGCCAAAGTAAGCTTGTCCGATGATGCACAGTAAGCCACAGACCAGTGCTTCCTAACTTTTTCCTCAGCACAACCCCATTTCCTCAGTATGGCCCCTTGGTAACAACCCATAGCACTCCCCTCCCCCCCAAGGTGCCCTTCACTCCTCACCCACGGCCCCCTGGCCCTGCTAGGGCCCCTCACTCCCTACCCACAGCTGCCTGCGCCATCAGCCCTGCTGGGGCCCTTCACTCAACTCACAGCCCCCTGTCCCCTGCCAGAGGGCATCCCACAGCTGCCAGGGCTACACGACCAGGACTGTGGCCCCTTACCCCACCCCCAGCAGTGTCCAAGCCCCTGCAGCTGCTGCAATCGAAGCAGAGTGCAGACCCTGACTCCCTCCCCACCTTCTCCTGCAGGTGGCATGAGTGAAGCAGAGCCGGTGAGGGTGGGAGGATGTGGGCTGCCCAGTGGGCTTGGGGCTCCCCACCCTGCTGGCAAACCTCCAGGAGCCTCCTCAGCCCAGTGGGTGGGACTCAATGCAGGAGGGCAGGGAGGGTCGGTAGCACTGCCAGGAGCCCCATACTGGCTGCACCACCACGGTGAAGTGCCCTCTGCCCACCTGGCATCAGCGGTAGCATGGGGCTGTGTCTCCTACTGTTGCTGGGTAGGCAGGGGATGTCTTGCCATGGTGGCGCAGCCAGTGTGGGACTCCCAGCAACACCACTGATCCTCCCCACACTGCTCTGTGATGGAGACTCTAGGGGAGGGCAGCAGGGTGGGGAGCCCCAAGCCCACATGAGGCAGCCCACACCTGCCCCCATCATGTGCACAAATCTGGAGGGGCTCAAATGCCCACCTGTGCCTCCCTCCCTAGGAGTGCATGCAGTTGCAGAGATCCAGTCCCCACCACCACCCCCGGAAAAAAGTTACCCATGGCTACATCCTGCTCCCCCAGTCAGGCCCTGTATTTCTGCCCCAGACTGAGGCACCATGCACTAGCCCAGCTGGGCAGTGCCCCTAGCCCCAGCCCTGCTCTACTCGCTCCCTCCCTCACTGTGGGGGCCTCAATCTACTCTCCCCCCTGCCATCCCATAGACTTATCTGGAAGGAGCTGCAGGAACTGCTTTCCATGGTACCTGCTCACACACATGCACGTGGTGCCTTCTGCCTGATTGCCCTCCTCCCACTTCCCCCAGTCCTAAGCAGCTCCATGCAGGCTGGAACTCTGCTAACCTGCAAGGGGAATCCACCATTTCCTGCTGTTTCTCCTTCAAAGGGGGAAATCTATGATAATCTTTGCAACCCCATTTTTTATTATTGCAACCACAAACGCAGTCATGACCCCAAGGTTGGAAACTGCTGCCACAGACCATTTTCTCTTAAGAACATCATATAACAGTAAGGGCCAACATTTTCGGCATGCAAGCCACAAATCAGCCATGAACCCTCTCTGACTGTCATTCCCTCTGCCCAACTGGCTGCTCTGCCTTCTGCTCCCTGCCCTGTTCCCCTTCACAGTCTGAGTGTTGTGCTCTGCTCTGCCTGATCTGCTTCTCTGCTGTCTGGTTCTGCCAGAAATCTCAAAAATCTCATGAGGTTCAATAAGGACAAGTGCAAAGTCCTACACTTAGGATGGAACGGTCCCATGCACCACTACAGTCTGGGAATGAACCGTCTAAACAGCAGGTCTTCAAAAAGGGACCTGGAGGTTACAGTGGACAATAAGCTGAATACGAGCCAACAATGTGCTCATGTTGCATAGGAAGCTAACAGCATGCTGGGCTGCATTAATACGAGCATTTCCAGCTAGTGATTATTCTCCTCTATTCAGCACCATTGAGACCACATCCAGAGTACTGTGTCCAGTTTTGGGCCCCCCACTACAGAAAGGATGTGGACAAGTTGAAGAGTCCAGTGGAGGGCAACGAAAATGGTTTGGGGGCTGGGGCACATAACTTATGAGAGGCTGAAGTAACTGGTCTTATTTAATCTGCTTAAGAGAAGACAGAGGGGATTTGATAGCAGCCTTCAACTACCTGAAGGGGAGTTTCAAAGAGGATGGAGCTAGACTCTCTCAGAGGGGGCAGATACCAGAACAAGGAACAATGGTCTCAAGTTGCAACAAGGGAAGTTTAGATTAGATATTAGAGAAAACTTTTTCACTAGCAGCACCCACAGGTAGGTGCTGGAATCTTCATCCTTGAATGTTTTTAAGACTTGGCTAGACAAAGCATTGGCTGGAATGATCTAGTTGGGGACAGTCCTGCTTTAAGCAGCGGGTTGGACTACGTGACCTCCTCAGGTCCTTTCCAACCCTGATTTTCTTTGATTCAATGTTCTCCACATCTACTAGTACTATAGATAGAAAACTAAAATATTTATCTTTTTTTAATCAAAAGGTTTTACATAATGGATATCTTTTTGCATTACCATCTTTGTGTTTTTCTTTTCTAAAGAAAAAATGCAAAAGGCAAGAAGATTTAATATAGTACTTAAGATGAGGGGTCTTTGGCACAGCATACCATTTCACTTTTTAGCACTTTTCCTATAGGCAAAATGCACAGCAGGTGGCTAGCAAGATTGCTAGCAAACATATAATGAGTTAAAATTAGCTGAGCTGGGGAGCATATGGACATATAATCAGAAACCAGTGCACCATATCTCATTTTAGTCCCTAGAAACAGAGGAATTATTATGACTCAAATATTCTGGCAATACAAAAGCAACCAGCTAATTCAAAAGAGTGATATCATGTATCACTATCTTTGTGTTGTTTTTAAACTACTGTTTACAATTTAACAGCAACAAAACCAAAGATTTCTAGAAATTACTTTTCACTTACTTGAGCATTTTTTCCCAGGTATCACTGTCATAAAATGCATGACTCCAGCCCATTTTGACTGTCCCAACAATGACATTCTGCTTAAAAACATCTGATCCTAATTTGTGATACAGGTCTTCACATTCATCCAGTGGGATATGGAACAACCCCAACATAAATGCCAATATAGCTCCTAAAAAAAAAAAAAGTTTTAAAATTGAAAATGCAACTTAGGATGACGCAAGATAGCTGTATTAAGTTACAGAAAACACCATTAATTCATATGTTAATGTTTCTACCTTAAAAAGTATGATCAACTGAGGTTTGTGCCAAGTACTTTGATTTGGTCATGAGGACATGGTTACTTTACAACTTTAAGCCATGCTGAAGTGGAGCCTCTG